ATTTTCTCCACTGCTCCCTCCTTGCTGGCATGCAGTCACTTCACGAAAGTTTCCAGCTCCCTGTTGCCAGCCCTGTCTCCCTTTTTTGCAGGCAGGCTGTGCTCTCCCAAGAGCAGTGGAGCAGTTTCACTACCTGCTGTGGCCAGACCATGGGGTGCCCAGAAACCCATCCCAGCTCCTGTGCTTGGTGGAGGTGGTGAACAAGAGGGTGTTGGAAGCACCTGCTGGCCCCGTGTTGGTGCACTGCAGGTACGGGGCTGGGGGACTTTGGGTGCTGGGGCATAGGCGGCAGGGGCAGCACTCACCCACAGCTTTCTGTGTCCTCAGCGCAGGGATCGGGCGCACAGGTACCTTCATCGCCCTGGACTTCCTCCTGAAGATGGGGAAGGCTGAGGGGAAGGTGGATGTGTTTCACTGTGTGCAGCAGCTGCGGGAGCAGCGGGTCAGCATGGTGCAGACCAAGGTGAGGAGAGGTATTTGTGCCCTCCACATCTCGGGCTGCAGATCCAGTTCCCCCCTGCGGGAGTCGACACAGGCAGGTGGCCAGAGCAACCACTAAACCATGGCTGAAACGCCAAGAGTAAATTCATTTCATTACCTCGCTAGTTGGAGGATCCCAAAGCTAGCTGGAGAATGCCAGGAGGTAACATGTAAGTGGGAACACCAGCACCATCAGGTTCAGTCCATCCTGGGTGACAGTGGAGCTGCTCTTCTCATCCATTTAACAAAGGCCTGTGCATGTATAGTTTACCAGCTGGGCTGTGATCTCATTTGTGTTTTTATGACCTCTGGCATTTATCTCTCCCAAAACAGGGAGCTCAGCCATGTCCTTGACAATGGCCTCCAGGTCTCTGTAAACACCTACATTCTTTCCTCACAGACTCTACTCCCCAAAGCAGACAGCGGATAAACAGCAGTAGGCTGTTTATAACACTGGATAGGATTTCTCACACTGCCATTTTCCACACCTTGGTATTCCTAGTTGTAAATTCACTTGAGAGAATCCACCTTGCACCTCCTGAATGAAAAGCCATTCTTTTGCTTTTAACCCTTTGCTGTCAACATCACCCTTCCCAGAGATGGCATGCAAAGCCGTATTTGCCATGCTGTTCGTGATCTAGTCACAGGGATTAGAGGTGATGGAGACTGAAGGATCTTTCTTCATTGCTGTGTTCAAACCTAGTTGGAATCTGTGTTTCCCTGAGGCTCTCTGAGGTATCAGCAGCATTTGTGTGCATTGGTCACCATGGTACAGAAGGGCTGTCTTGTAGGCAAGGATAGTGAATGAGAGTCCACCTGTCCCTCAGGCTTTCTGGATGTCTGCCCTCCTGATATCTCCTGGGCAGCAGTGTCCTGGCCTAGGGTCTATGTCCCTAGGTGATCTGCTTACTGCTGGGTCCCTTGGGAGAAAACTAGGTTGGGCTGGACCAACCAGCTGCTTGTACGAGGTCTGATTAGTCCACAGGTTTTCCAGGCTGCCTTCCCCAGAGCAGGGGTCTGGTCTGAGAGGGAGCATTAAACCTCAGGAAGATGATCTTGTCTGGGTTGCTGAAGTTGCTGGCTGTGTCCCAAAGCAGGGCTGCCTGCAATGAGAAGTGTCTGGCCTCAGGGATCCGCAGCAGGAAGGTGAAGGATGAACCTGGCTCACTTCTGGCACAGTTTGATGACAGCTGGTGATCTGGAGCTCCAGGGTTCCTCCTGGACTAGCTCCAGACCATGCAGCTGACCCATGTCCTCACACAGGAGCAGTACAGCTTCCTGTACGAGGCGCTTCTCGAAGGCTTGCTCTGCGGCAGCACCGGGGTCCCACTGGAGAGCATCGCCACCCTCGTCCACTCCCTTGGAGAAGCTGAGACCTCAGGCCACAACAGTGTCCTAGAGAAGGAGTTCAAGGTACCACCAGGAGATGGTGCACTCTGTGCTTTGTGCTGTGAGGGCTCATCTGTGATGCCAACCCACTCCCTGCTCCCCTCCCCAGCAGTGGGATGGAGATGGGGATCATTTCTCTGGAGTGGATCAAGAAGGTGAGGTGCTGACAGGCAGGACTGACTTGGGTGAATCATCTCTACAGGCCCTGCAGAGATTTTCTGAGTTGTTCCAGCTCC